TGAACCATGTATCCCTACAACTATAAGTAGAGATGACTTCATGAGATTCTTTAGAAATAAAACTGTTTCAATTAGAGAGAAAAATTCAAACCAACATTCCTACTATCACCTCTGGTTCTGTGTCAGATGAGACAACTTTAAAAATTTCACTAGAACCTGATTTATGTTTGGACAGTTTTGTCCTTTTGAGCTCTTTGATCTGTCAAAAATAATAACTTCATCCAAACCATCCACATGCCTGCTAGATCCCATCCCAACCAGACTGTTTAGAGACGTATTTCCCTTAATTAATAATCACGTCTTGGATCTGCTTAATTTGTTTCTAATGAACAGTTACGTACCACAGAGCTTTAAGGTTGCTGTAGTTAAGCATTTACTAAAGAAACATAATCTTGATTCATAAATCCTGGCCAACTATAGACCTATATCTAATCCAACTTTCATCTCAAAAATTCTAGAGAAACTAGTTGCATGTCAGTTGTGTGAACATCTACAAAGAAATAATCTGTTTGAAGAGTTTCAGTCAGGGTTTAGAGCTCATCATAGCACAGAAACAGCACTAGTAAAAGTCACTAATGATATTCTCATGGCCTCAGACAATGGACTGGTGTCTCTACTGGTCCTGTTAGACCTCAGTGCTGCATTTGATACAGTCTGCTTCATACACCAACGTTAGTCATGGAGTTCCTCAGGGCTCAGTGCTTGGGGCAATACTCTTTACTTTATATATGCTTCCATTAGGTAAAATTATTAAACAGCTTGGGATAAATTTTCATTGTTATGCTGATGACACTCAATTATATTTATCCATTAAACCCAATGAATCCAATCAGCTACTTAGACTACCAGCATGTCTTAAAGACATAAAAACCTGGATGACCCTTAATTTTCTCCTGTTGAACATACAAGACTGAGGTTTTGGTTTTTGGACCTGAGCACCTTAGGAATGAATGTTTCAGTCTTTCTCCCTCCTTAAATGCATTAATCTGTCCTCCAGCTCTAATGTTAAAAATCTTGGTGTTATTTTTGATCAGGACATGTCTTTTATCCCCCACATTAAAAACGTTACTAGAACCTCCTTCTTCCACCTGCGTAATATCACTAACATTAGAAACATGTGATCTAAAGATGATGCAGAAAAACTGGTCCATGCATTTGTCACGTCTAGACTGGACTATTGCAATGGTTTATTATCTGGGTGTCCAAATACTTCTTTAAAACATCTTCAGTTGATCCAAAATGCTGCTGCCAGAGTCTTAACTGGAGTTACTGGGAGAGATCATCTCTCTCCAGTTTTAGCTTCTCTCCATTGGCTCCCTGTCAAATCCAGAATAGAATTCAAAATCTGACTTCTAACCTACAAAGCCCTCAACAACCTAGCTCCATCTTATACAGTGAGGAAAGTAAGTATTTGAACACCCTGCGACTTTGCACGTTCTCCCACTTTGAAGTCATGGAGGTGTCTGAATCTTTCATCTCGGGTGCATGTCCACTGTGAGAGGCATAATCTAAAAAAAAAAATCCGGAAATCACAATGTATGATTTTTTAATTATTTATTTGTGTGTTACTGCTGAAAATAAGTATTTGAACACCTGTGAAAATTAATGTTAATATTTGGTACAGTATCTTTGTTTGCAGTGACAGAGGTCAAAGGTTTCCTGTAGTGTTTCAGCAGGTTTGCACACACTGCAGCAGAGATTTTGGTCCATTCCTCCACACACATCTTCTCTAGGTCAACCAGGTTTCTGGGCTGTCACTGAGAAACACGGAGTTTGAGCTCCCTCCAAATATTTTCTATAGGGTTTAGGTCTGGAGACTGGCTAGGCCACTCCAGAACCTTGATATGCTTCTTACGGAGCCACTCCTTGGTTCTCCTGGCTGTGTGCTTCGGGTCATTGTCATGTTGGAAGAACCAGCCACGACCCATCTTCAATGCTCTAAATGAGGGAAGGAGGTTGTTCCCCAAAATCTCTCACTACATGGCCCCGGTCATCCTCTCCTTGATACAGTGCAGTCGTCCTGTCTCTTGTGCAGAAAAACACCCCCAAAGCATGATGCTTCCACCCCCATGCTTCACAGTAGGGATGGTGTTTTTGGGATGGTACTCATCATTCTTCGTCCTCCAAACACGGCGAGTGGAATTAAGACCAAAAAGTTCTATTTTGGTCTCATCTGACCACATAACTTTCTCCCATGACTCCTCTGGATCATCCAAATGGTCATGGTCAAACTTCAGACGGGCCTGGACGTGTGCTGATTTAAGCAGGGGAACCTTCGTGCCATGCATGAATTTAAACTATGACGTCTTAGTGTATTACCCACAGTAACCATGGAAACAGTGGTGCCAGCTCTCTTCAGGTCATGGACCAGCTCCTCCCGTGTAGTTCTGGGCTGATTCCTCACCTTTCTTAGGATCATTGATACGCCACGAGGTGAGATCTTGCATGGAGCCCCAGTCCGAGGGAGATTGACAGTCGTGTTTAGCTTCTTACATTTTCTAATAGTTGCTCCAACAGTTGATCTTTTTTCACCAAGCTGCTTGGCAGTTGCCCCGTAGTCCTTTCCAGCCTTGTGGAGGTCTACAATTTTGTCTCTGGTGTGTTTGGACAGCTCTTTGGTCTTAGCCATGTTAGTAGTTGGAGTCTCACTGATTGTGTGGGGTGGACCGGTGTCTTCATGCAGCTACCGACCTCAAACAGGTGCTTCTAGTTTAGAATAATAAGTGGAGTGGAGGTGGACGTTATAGAGGAGGACAAACAGGTCTTTGAGGGCCAGAACTGTTGCTGATTGGCAGGTGTTCAAATACTTATTTGCAGCAGTGACACACAAATGAATTATTAAAAAAATCATACATTGTGATTTCCGGATTTTTCTTTTAGATTATGTCTCTCACAGTGGACATGCACCTAAGATGAAAATTTCAGACCCCTCTATGATTTCTAAGTGGGAGAACTTGCAAAGTCGCAGGGTGTTCAAATACTTATTTTCCTCACTGTATTACAGATCTTATTGTTCCATATTTTACTAACAGAGCACTTCACTCTCAGACTGCAGGTTTACTTGTGGTTCCTGGAGTTTCCAGCAGCAGAATGGGAGGAAGATCTTTCAGTTCTCAGGCTCCTCTCTTGTGGAACCAACTTCCAGTTTCTGTCCATGAGGCTGACACATTGTCCAGTTTAAGACTTTCCTTCTTGATAAATCCTATAGTTAGGGTTGGCTTGTTATGCTGCTATAGACTTAGACTATTAGAGGACAAACCGACTTCATTTCCTTAAATGAATTGTTAAAATTGAATAGTTTTCATTTGGTACTATTTCTATCTTAACATGTGATTCTTGACCTGCCATTGTGTATCTGTTCCTTCCAAACCCAGCTGGTCGAAGCAGATGGTCCTCTAGTCCTGATCCTGGTTCTGCTAAAGGTTTCTTCCTCATGAGGGAGTTTTTCTTTCCACTGTCGCCTTCATGCTTGTTCAAGATGAGAGTTCAGTGATGGAGTTAAACTCAAAGCTGCTCCTCAGATAAATAATGTTCAATTATTATTTTATACATGAATGTTTCTGTTAATTATTATTTTATAGATGAATGTTTCTGTTAATTATTATTTTATAGATGAATGTTTCTGTTCAGTTATTATTTTATACATGAATGTTTCTGTTCAGTCACTGAGACGACTTCTGTTGTGACTTGGCGCTTTATAAATAAACTGAATCGAAATTCTAAAGTGGATTAGATTTATTCTAAGTGGATTAGGTTAGTTGTAAAGTGGATTATGTTGTAAAGTGGATTATGTTAGTTGTAAAGTGGATTAGGTTTGTTCTAAAGTATTGTAGATTATGTTTATTGTAAAGTGGATTAGATTTGTTGTAAAGTGGAGTAGATTTATTCTAAGTGGATTAGGTTGTAAAGTGGATTAGGTTGTAAAAGGGATTATGTTGTAAAGTGGATTATGTTAATTCTAAAGTGGATTTGTTAATTCTAAAGTGGATTATGTTAGTTGTAAAGTGGATTATGTTAGTTGTAAA